AGGGTCTCTGACCATCTTTTTCAGTCTTTGGTTTATACAAACAAAGGAAATTTTTATTTTAATGTCGTGCCAGAGCTCAGCATATTTGTATATTATCCCCCTATTTCTAAGTTTCAGCAATAACAGAAACAGAAGGAACTCTATTAATAAAGCGAAGTTCTCTGCCCTCACACCTATAACATTGGTTTGAATATTTGCCCAAAGGCAAGAAGGCGATGTGTACCTGTGAGAGCTCTCCCAGGTGAGCTCCTTTTCCTGCCTCAGCACAAGTGCAGAGGAAGAATGCAGGAGAGGGTTGGGTTGCAGTGCAGGATGTGTCCTGCACCCTGCAGGGTGGGAGGCGGCCAGAGCAGCTCGGGCACGGAGCCTGAGGCAGGAAGGAGCTCCCCAAGGCCTCCTTGAAGGCCGGGCCCATGGAAGTGGCCCCAGGGATGGGCCCCGGGCCAGCAGCTGAGGCTGCCCCCCGCCCCCTTGGCTTTGCTTCTCGCAGCTTTAGCGCTGCTGCAGAGGTGACAATTCTGCGGGGGAAAGCTTTGTGGTTTGCTCAGGCTGCGAGAAGCACAAAGGCAAAGCGAGCCCGAGCAGAGGCTCTGCCGGGGCTGGGATGGTTTGCAGAGCGGCGCTGGCTGCAAACCCCCCTGCAGGGGCGGCTGCGAGGGAAGCAGCGCGGAAATGCAGCCCTTGAGCGTTTTGGCCGTGTGGCCGAGGGGCTGAGAGAGCCCCACAAGGGCTGCAAAGCCCCCAGGGATCTGCTCCAGAGCCTGAGCGGGACCCTCCTCCTCCAACAGAACCTGCAGCCCTTTGCGAGCTGCCGGCAAGAACGTTTGGGATCGGGCTGTGGGCACCGGCAGCGAGGGAAAAGTGGGGCAATGTCGAGCAGGGGCTGCACACGGGGATCTGGGGAGCAGGGCAGTCCCAGCAGGAGCACGGAGTGCCCAGGCACGGGAATTCAGGCCAGGCTGCAGGGCATTTACCATTAGCCAATGCGACCCTGAGGGACACACGGGCATTTCTGGAGATCCCTGGGCGCTCTTCCGAGCACGGACAGAGTTTCCTCTCCTTGTGGGAGCAGCATCCATGGGAAGTAAGCCAAGTTTCAGCCTGGGAAGGAGAAAAACGGGGAGAGTTCCTAAATACGGGCCGAGAAAAGCTTTCCTTAGGGGCTGGGGGGCTGCTGAGCAGGCAGGGAACAATCCCATGGAGCTGAGGGACAGCCAGGGAGAAAGGCCAGGGCTGGCTGGGGCAGAGCCCCAGAGCCTCTCAGGACAATTCTGGGGCTCCCCTGGCCATGAATACACTGTGGGGGCTG